TATATATAAAGCTATGATATCTAAAGCCTTTGTCGGAAGCCAAGCCTGAGATATTCTATGGCCAATCATCTGCTTGGTGGGATTTCTTTGTCGTTCCATTTTATAATATTCTACTAAAAATCGACAGTTCAAATTGAATCTGTGGGCAAAGAGACCTACCTTGTTTATTTGATATTTCATTTTCTTGTTTTGTTGTTGTGGAAAATGGATTAGTTGAGTGATTATCATGAATTTTGACGATCTCCTTTATTAACAGTGTTCTTTTTTAAACTTTTAAATTTTATCCGTGTTTTTCTCTTTCCTTATATGATACATTGTTTGGTTAAAGTCTTGAAGTAGACAATATTTAACTTTAAAAATAAAAAGCATAAATGATTACATTATATTTTCTTTGAATTGTGACCAATGATAATTTTCCTTTGAATTGAAACAAGAGGTTAAAAAAATAAAAATTTTCTTTGAAATATGTGAGCTAATCCTAGAAATTAAGTACATAGATTTTATGGTTTAGGGTTACCTTAAACATCATGTGGTAAAGATATTAATGTCAAGTGGGTTTTATTTTATTGCCCTATTTGTGAGAAAAAGAGTGCCCTATTATTATAGGACACCCTCCCCTCCAAAACATAAGAGAATTTCATTAAATTAAGTTAATTGGATTCTTGAAAGACTCAAATAGTGATATTTTTTTATACAATAAAATTCCCATTTAGTTTAATTTACATATTACAAAAATCCAAGTTGCAACTTGCAAGTGTTAAAAAGAGAGAGAAAAAAAAAAAGAGGTTCAAAACACAATGTTTTTGCAAAAGTTTAATTAAACTAAGAAAGCTACACATCAAATTCAAAGGCCGACAAGAGCATATGGACTATCAGTAATCCAAAAGCTTTTTAATTAATAAAATTATGACCACTAAAAAAAGGGTTTAAGGTTTATGAAAGAATTTGAGTGACAAGTTGAAGTGATTTCTACTATTAGTATATGTGATTTCTTTAAAAAAAATAACAAAACTATATTATTCACACGATTGCACTTTTCAAATACGAGGTTACACGTGGACAAATCCTTGAAGGCCACGTGGCTTAAGAGTTGGGGTCCCAACCTCGTAGAGCCCGAGGTAGAAAAGCCTATATGCACTAAGACAAGCAATCCTGTTCGTCCATTCTCCTTTGGGCAAAAACTAATTGACGGGTTATACGCTGACCAAAAGTATGGTTTTGGTGTGACAATGCGGGAAAGTATGATTTTGCCAATCAGAATATTCCTATCACCAGCCGTAACTCTCTGCCCAATGGTACGACCCGAATCTTCTGTGACACGTTCTCCCAAAACACTCCCCTATAAAAGGAGGAGTCAAACCCTTCTCAAAAGTATGCAAACATCTAGCGCTACATACTTGCTCTCCTCTTAGCTCATACAAACATAATTCTAACTTAAGCATCACATTGTATTTGGTAGAGCACCACACTGATGTTGAGTTCCATTTTGTAGGTTATGCGTGTACGGCCACACTGCTATCTGTCAATCATGTCAGCTGGACCATATTTTGACATCGACAATAATTAATAGAAACATAATTTTCCTTTATAACAACAGTAATAATATA